CAATAAAATCATATAGTATTCAAAATTCAATACAAACAAACATTACTAGTTTTTCAGTAAATAATTGACTATTAATTTTTTTGTAAATTTTACTGTATTATATCAAGTATTGTATTAAGTGTTATTATTATATTTAAATCACAAAAAATTTTATTATTAAATTTTTCCTGTTGATCATTATCTCGTTTCAACGGATTTAGGTGGTCAGTCCCATAGATCTGTTGAAACGATTATAAAAAGTAATTCTAAATGGGAGAAAATCAAGAAAAATGTATCTAAATTTTCAAAAATGTGCCCCAGAAATGTACTTAAATGGTGTAACCTTGTAGATATGAATTCATAGGATTTGCAAATTTCATGTTTGACACATAATTAATTTGTTTTGAAATCAGCAAAATTTTATTATACAATGAGCCTTTATTTTAAAGCACAAAATCCTGCTTCTTTTTCTTTTCAACGTTATTTAGTATACTCTCATGAGTGTAGAGGTTTAGGAGGAAGCATAACACAAGAATGGAAAAGTTTTGTAGATGGTATTAAATGTTATATAAATAATTGTGATGATGATGAGTTGAAAACTTATTGGGGAAAGGAGATATTAAGTGAGGTAAATTAAATTAAAATTAAAATTTAATTATTATATTATTTGATGATGAATTTGATATTTGTTTTGTGGATATCTTGCTCCTAATCTGAGGATTTCTTTCCTGCTGAATCATTTGCTGAACCTCATGCATGTCAGAATCCTCATGATCTTTGTGAGCCTGATCTGAGGATTTCTTTCCTGCTGAATCGTTTGCTGAACCTCATGCATGTCAGAATCCTCATGATCTATGTGAGCCTGATCTGAGGATTTCTTTCCTGCTGAATCGTTTGCTGAACCTCATTAAGGTTTCTGGTCCAAACTGTTTTCTCAAAGCCCAAACTAGTTTGGGCAATTTGGGCTTCTCAACATTTTCTATAAGCATCAACATTAAAAAACTATATGAATCAACTTGTTTTAACTTAAACAACTTTAAAATAATTTCGCCCAATTTTGGCTAATAACAAAAAGTAGTTTGGGCTTATGAAAAAATAATTTTTGCCCAAAGTATTTGGGCAATTTCGGCTAATAATAGAAGCAGTTTCAACCAGAAACCTTAAACCTCATGCATGTCAGAATCCTCATGATCTATGTGATCCTGATCTGAGGATTTCTTTCCTGCTGAATCGTTCACTGAACCTCATGCATGTCAGAATCCTCATGATCTATGTGAGCCTGATCTGAGGATTTCTTTCCTGCTGAATTGTTCGCTGAACCTCATGCACATCAGAATCCTCATGATCTCTATATTGTATAATGATCTTTCTGATTGTTTTTTTAAACTTTCTGTATTCCAAAGTTTTCTTTAATTTTTCTGACCATCAGGACTATTATATTCAATTAATAGGAACAAATGAATTATGAAGGTGTTGTAAAAATTTGGATGGGAATAAAAAGAGACAGCGGTGGAATAACATTTTATGAATTATATTCAAAAACCTTGAAGGAACTAGAAGAAAATGCAGTAAAGGGTAAAGTAATCTTTGTAAATTTTTCTATATCTTTGCTTTGCATTATATAACTATTGACTGTCTTAACTTCATATGGTAATCAGCAAAATCTACAAGATCCAAAAATAAATTAAAAGTGCAGGAAACAGATGATCATGAGCAACAATTTTGTGTAATTAAAAAATATAAGATGTTAGAAGTAAGTCATAGTGTTTTAATATTTATTTAGAAAATCATTTTTATATTAAAGTTAATATTCAATATTTGGATCAGGAAACAACAAAATACCCCTGGAAATTAAACATCAAAAGAAAACAAATCATTTTAATCGAGAAACTAAATTATCATATAAAGAGTGATAATCTTAGAAAACTTGCTTTCAATAATCCCTTTTTATCATGTGTTATTGATCTTGATTGTATAAGCAAATTACTTGTTAACATATTTTCTAGAGAAGAACTTGAATGTATGAACATTTGTGAAAAAATGAGATCATGGAAAACCATAGAAAATGTTCTTAAATTGTGGATTAAGCAATTATCAAAATTAGGACAATCAACTTCCTATCCAGATATCCCAAGCAATTTATCCAAAGAAGAAAAAGAAGTATTTCTCTATATTTTAGAGATGTTTAAAAAATTGTGAGTTTTGGCTATCATTGGTTCTGTTGATTTTTTTATAATCAAGAGGAAACTTTGTATATAACATTCAATACAATAAATATATATAATTAAGGCAATCAATTTGGAAAATTAGAAGATATGACAATAAATTAAATGGTGATTCAGAAATCTTGGAAAATACATTTATTCATGAAATTATGCATATGAACCCTTTTGAAAGAAAGATCAACTTTGAAATAATTGAATTGTGTGGATTTAAAGGCTTGCTCTCAGGTCATGCAACAAACCATTAGATGGCCATCATTAAACAAACCTTGAAATAATAAAAATAAATATTAAATAGAATTCATCTTGAAAGTTAATAAAAATTGTCATCAAACTCACTAATATTTTGAATATAATCCTTTAAATCTAAACTGTTTTTATTTGTTGTATAATCATGTAAAAGTCCCAACAATCCTTGTCCATGGGGGTTGTTCTCTTTTTGTACATGGTTTATCATATATCTCAATTTATCTATATTGTTTACACTAGAATGGACTTCTGCAATGAAGTTAGATCCAAAAACAGATTTTATTAAATGACCTGTCAATAATTGATTTGCCTTAATTTCCACAATTTGAGATTCTAAGTCTTGGATTAAAGCTTTCAATTTATCTTTTATAAATGATGGAACTTTGATAGGTGGTGGTGGTGGGTGGTTGTGAATTCCTTGAGATACTAATACAATATATGGAAACTTCTCCAAATCATGAGGTGTAAATATTTTAAAGTAAACACTACAACTTTTCCTTATTAACTGCATCCTTTGGGTTCTTCCCTGGCAAACATGCAGATGTGTATAATATTAGATTTTACTGTGTGAAGAAACAATAGTAGTGCAATTAGTGTCATTGTTTTTATCAGAGATATGTTCATCATTACCAAATAATGTTCTTAATAATTCGATACTAACACCAGGTTTTATTTGTAAAGATAAATGACCTTTTTGGTGGTAAGAATATCTATCACAGCTGATAAAGTCACTAAATTCATCAGTTCCATGAATTTTGTATTTTTTTATATAAGGTTTTCCGCCACATTGATAATTATTAAAGGGGCATTTCACTGCAATAGCTGCAAGGTACTCACTAATAAAAAAAAGGAAAATAATCATTAGTTAGTTATTTAACTATTTTGACTAAAATAATAGGTTAATAATTTCTCTTCAACAAATAACATTACTTCTTACATTTGAGTAGTAACATGTCTTTGTCTTTCAGAAGGAACATTTGAATTAAGATTCAAAATAAATTGGTCATTTTCAAGATTTACTGTCTTATGATATGCATTTAATATTTCATTACCAGCAAGTGGACATACTTTTACGTCTTAACTATTTTTTTAACTGGAACATATGATTTTCATGTTTTATCTTCAGGATTAATACCAAAATAAGGACATCCTACTTTAGAACTTCCACCACTAGGCTTGCCCATACTATTGGCACTTGGAAAAGAAAATAAATAAAACAAAACAAATTGATTAATTGACTGATTAGAAATACTGTGTCAGTTTGAATAGGAATACTGAGTTTTTAATTACATCGTTTGTTACAGAGGAGACATCATTCCATTCTTTGACATAAAATATATAAGCAATTCCTTCATTTGATGTTTCGGGATATTCTATTGGCATTATTGTATGTTTTACATCTTTAATTTTAGTATTGTGAGAGAACAGAGCAAATATGCCATCTTTGTCATCGGAATTAAACCACCATTGTCATTATTATCCTTATTATCTTTATCACAAACACTACTACCACTTTCATCATCACCATCACAATC